CAACAGCGACACGGGATCTAATAATCGTAATATCAGACACCACATCTCGATCGGCAGCACTGGAAACGGCTCCTCACTAAAATTGATGAACGGCAACAACTTGTACATGCTGATACCCACTCGTCCACTGACAAAACGAAACTGAAGCATGAGGTGTCAGCAACGTGCTTTTATACTAGTAGATGTGGGCAACAGACCGTGACGGAACCTTGCGGCTCTAGCTAGTCAACTGTGAAACTGAAAAAGTTCACTGAAGCGTGATGGCAGTTTAGAGACTACCCCCTTTTAAAACAAATCAGACTTGTTTGTATTATCAAAAGGGTTAGAGTCGATTTCAACGAAAATAATGCACATGTTGAATTCTCAGAACCGTATATTTGTGAAAGCGGAGAACTAGAATTTTCTTTTTCCTTGAAATGGGTTCTGAATTATAGGTAATTACACCCATTGTCAATCATTGCAAATAAATTTGTGTAACTTTTTAATTTTCAACTCCATATTAATTCCGGGAAGATTAGGGTTAATTGATCACATCTAGAATTATAAAATGGCTTCGCTAATAGCTAATAACGACTTCTTCAGCAGAGTGAAGATGTCAACATGCAGAAACTGCTGTCCACGAATGTTTTCCAAATATGTAGTGCTGACAGACGCACTTTTATCATTTGAAACAATTGTTGGCATTATTGTAAGTATAAATTTATATAATCCTATAACAATCAATACAGTGGCAAATATCAAGATCATCTTTTATCATGGGTAATAATCGAAAACAATAAAAGAAAAGCTCTGAAACTAGAAATAACATTATAGAGGAAATGGCAAAACTACTGTCTATATGGTTTGACCAAGAAACTGAACGCAATATGCCATTAAGCCAATCTATTATAATGGAAAAAAGCTAGAATTTTTTTTAATTACATTCAGGACGACGTCGTTGTTAGTCGAGGAGGTTTTAATAGATTTAAATATCGAAATAATCTTCACAACATAAAAATTACAGGAAAAGCAGCAAGTAGCTTTTAATTTTGATGAAACAGACCTGTTTTGGAAAAGAATGCCATATGGAACATTTCTGTACCATTAAGAGAAATTAGCTCCAGGATTTAAAGCTCCAAGATCGATGCGTGGGTAATATAAGCGGAGATTTCACATTAAAACTACTATTACTTTGCCACTCCAAAAACCCAAAAGCGATAAGAGGCTAAATCAACTTTACCTGTAATTTGCGAATCTAACAAAAAATCATGGATAACTATGAAAAATTTCCAGGATTGGATTTTCGCCCGCCTGTTAAAAGTTATTGCGAAATTAAAAAACTTCAACAAAGAGCACTACTATTGATTGATAATCCTTCAAGCTCCAAATTAACCAAAACTAACCCAAAAATTTTCCGCCTGAGCTTATTTGAAAAATCAGACGAAGAAGAGAAGCAATCAATAAAGGAATTTTGTAAAAACTACAATATTTATGCTTGGAATTTGGAAACCGAAAGGTTTTTGAAAGGAGTATGGAAGAACATTTGGCCAGACTTAAGTAAGAGCGAAGACTGGACACAATTCAAGAAACAGCAGCTAGTCTCTCTAATGCTGAGCTTAAGAAATTACGTGAGCAAGAAGAAAGCAAAAATGTTGATAGTAGTGATTTCGAAGAAGAGCGATTGCCTTAGGAAAATAACTGAAATTATGGACCAATATGTTGAAAATATCCAAATTTTGACAGGAAAGTTATAAGTGGTTTATAGATTTATCAACAACTTCTAACTGAACGCAAAAGGAAAACTCAACTTACATTAGGTTGCCTTCTTGACAAAAAGGCAGAAAATTGGAAACCCAGAAGTTTATTTGTTTTTATAAGTATATTCGTTTATATTTGCCGGATTTTTTTTTAAATATATATACTTATATACTTATATATATATATATACACCAAACTGGACATAAAATTCTATTCGATAAAACTTAAATTCTTGCACGTAATCAATTCTTCTACCAACGAAAAATTCGAGAGTCTATAGAAATCTATAAACAACCCAATAATCTTAACCGTGTCTCAAGTCGCTACCTCTCACCAAACAATATATAAGCAGGTACAGAGTAAAATGAGAGCCAGTTTCAGTCAAGCACTGAAGAAGCCAACAGGATGATTGGCGAAATGTCAGCAAGTTCGACTTAGCAAAAACCGACGCAGGAGGAATCCAGAGGTTTTGTAAAAAGGGTCTTGCTCTATTTATATATTATTGTGACCATTTCCTATTCCTTTTGGGAGCGATAATCTGAATATCTGCAAACCTCCTCTAACTTATATTGAAAGATAACTTGGGTTTAGCTTGTCTGCGCCTGCGATCCCACTACTTAATGTAGCATCTGCTTCAGTTACACCCGACAGATAGAAAAGTACTGTCGATAAGCCTTCACAATGACATAGCCCTTGTGGTCGTTACCTTATCCTATTCCATTTTCACTCTGATTAAGCTTAGCCAGCAGACCAACCATTTCTCTTATAGCCTTCCTTTCATGGCTGCTCTAATTTTGGCAGATGGGCTTGTGAATGGTATTCTTTGGACCTGGCGTCTCCCCAGCATTATCGGGTATAAGCAAAAGCATATTATCATTTTCACCTACTACGAGTTTTGACATTTTACGACACAATTGAAAAAATAGCCTTAGGAGTGCGGAGTAAGTTATTTAACACTGGCGGGAAAAATTTCGTGTAGATTATTTTGAAATGATAATAGCTTCACTTATACGTTGAATTTAAAAAGAAAACTTCATTTTTTAAAACAGTTTCTTTGCCTCATGCGAGTAGGGTGCTACTCCGATCAACATCTTTGCCGATTCGAACGCATTCGTAAAAGGTTATCGTCCATTATAATGAGCCATTAATAAATCGAATCGCGCGTCTCGCCATTTTCGCGTTTTTTTCTCCCCCTCCTCGTGCCCGATTCGGCATTAATGGTCCTCGGACGACACCCGTATTTTGTCGCTAATTAATATTTTATTGCAGTTCTCTACGACGCGGCATGCGGGTAACAAATGCGTTTTTATTGTTGATCGTTGCAACTAGCGATCAAAATTTTGCGTTGACCATGTGAATACCGTCGCGAGAAAATGGTGCACGTCAAACTCAACATTAGTTCGGGAACCGATCACTACCGGGTGAGTCGATTCATCGTGCCACGCGCACTGAGCGGCAACGATTTACAACTGATTATACAGGGTGTTTACGGTAACAAAAGAGTTTAATAGCACACCCCAATTTCTGAGCTTCTATGTCGACGTTTCTGATCTTCATTGGGCCATCCTCAGGACATGAAAATGTTAGATCCGCTTACAGAAATTATAAAGGATCTGTCTCTTTATTGAGTTGAGATGGTCCAATAAAATCCAATAATAAGCAACTTTTTTCTGAGCTTATGCAAATTAATTCTGAGTCAGTAAAATTATTATGGGAATTTTTGAACATAAAAAAATTCAAAAATAATTTTCATTTAATATGCTTAACCATCACTTAAAAGCAAGGAACATTAAAAAGCTCAGTCAACCTTTGTTAGGAAAGTAAATACCCTGTACACAAGACTTCTGATACTGGGTGGTTTTATTTTGTACGCGTCATCAAAACTACCCCGTATATTAAGAATGACTTGACTCGGCGCCTACACGTATTCACAGACGTAGTATGAGCAAAAACAAGTCAATATTTTCTTATTAGGGGCAGAGGAGACAAGAATTTCTAATATAAAGGTATGCTCAAACGTTCCCAGTCTACATACAGGTTTATTGCATTTTATTTTATCTTTGGTTCCCTTAAAGTCTATTCGACTAAGATGTAGAGTGATGAAGGCTCGTTAGACATGCACTATGCATTATGTACCCTGTTTCCCAAATTGCCTTTAATCACTGGGTTTCTGGTGTGTGTCGGTTTTACGTGATATCGAAATTTTGTGGTTTTTGGGGTGGTATCATATTTTTGATACCCTGTCATATAGAAAAATACACTAAAAGTGCTCTAAACAAAGGTTCTTGCGTAGAATACAGTGGTTTAGTAAAAAAATGTTTAGACAAACTGTTTTCGAGAGATACCTTATATATAGTTTTTTTTTTAATTGAACACTCTGTATTACTTTATCTCAAAAATTCGCCTTTTCATTCGCTTTAACATCATATATCGCACTATGTGCTATGTACATAGTGCGATATATGATGCGATATATGATCAGTCAAATGTACATAGTACATTTGACTGATCCTTAAAAACGCAATATTATAATAAAAAGCATAATAATAATAATAATAATAATAATAATAATGGATGGGATACAGAACTTCTGGTACAAGAAATTCACCGCTGTAAGGTCCAAACTTGCTGACACCCTGAGCCTGATACTGAACAACCCTCAGTCTGCGCCACCCTTTCTGACGAAAGGGATGACCTACCTTCTCCCAAAGACAGATTACCCAATTAAAGATCCCTCAAAATACGGACCCATAACGTGCCTGCCTACGATATACAAAATTCTCAATGGAATAATAGCTAACAAACTATACAAACACATGGATGATAACAATCTTTTGGCTGAAGAGCAGAAGGGGTGCAGGCGGCATGCACAGGGGTGTAAGGAACAACTTGCAATTGACAACGTTGTCACCCGCAACGCAATAGCTTCCAAGAAGAATCTCTTTACTGCATATATTGATTATCAGAAGGTATTTGATAGTGTTCCGCACACTTGGCTGCTACAGTGCCTCTATGTCTATAAAGTCGACCCCAAAATCATCAACTTTCTCACGCATGTTATGGACCAGTGGGAGACGCAAATAATTCCGAGAGACCAGGGGACGCAAGAAAAGCCGATCAGCATAAAAATCCAACTAGGTATTTTCCAGGGCGATGCTCTGAGTGCCCTCTTGTTCTGCATAGCGTTAAACCCACTCTCCTCCGCTCTCAATAATCTCAAACAAGGATATCCACTTAATAAAGAACTTAAGCTCTCCCACTGAATGTACATGGACGACCTCAAGATATTTTCGGACACCGAAAAGGGACTAAAACGGCAGCTCAGATGCATCGAGAACTTTTCAAATGATATTCGAATGAGTTTCGGTCTGGAGAAGTGTAAAGTAGGCAGACTTCATAGAGGAGAGTGGCGTCAGTTGGACGGTCATCAGCTTACACAACATAGTAGTGGTGGAAAAATAACGACGCTGGATAAATTTGAAACCTATAAATACCTAGGTCTTGCCCAGGCGCGAGGAATAGACTCTAAAAGTGTCAAGACGCTGCTCACCGAGAGATTTAAAGAGAGAGTCAAGCACATCTTAAAAACAAGATTGGCAGGCCGTAACATGGCGACTGCAATCAATTCCTACGCCGTCCCTGCAGTGGCGTACAGCTTCGGCATCGTCGATTGGACGCCGACAGAGCTTGATGATCTGAATAGAACCTTAAGGACAAGTCTAACTAAATTCCGCGCTCACCACCCACGAGCTGGCAGAGAGAGGGTACATCTACAGAGCTCAGCGCTCCACCGAGCAGTGACAGGTCTAGCTAGATCACTCACACCCCTCATGTTGCAGGTCACACACTATCAGTGCGACCCTAAGTATTCAATTTTCGAGCTCGAGACCCAGTGGTGGGGAAAGGAACTACACGGCAGATACATAAACTTGCTTGACAGTGCTGACCTTGACAAGCCCGCATCAGTTGGCTGGCTAACGAACGGCAACCTTTTTCCCGAGACTGAGGGTTTCATGTGTGCAATTCAGGATCAGGTCATACCCACTCGGTCTTATCTTAAACACATAATCAAGGACCCGACAGTAACAACAACGAATTGTCGCATATGTGGAGAGGGCCATGAGAATGTTGAGCACCTCATCAGTGGTTGTCGGATACTGGCCCCGAAGGAGTACACCACAAGACACGACAACGAAGCCAAGATAGTCCATCAGGAAATAGCCTTCAACCTTAAACTTCTAAAAGAGAAGTGTCCATACTACCGATACTCACCAGAATCCGTGCTTGAAAATGAGGGATTTAGGATATATTGGGACAGAACTGTTCAGACTGATCGCACTGTCCAGCATAACAGGCCAGATATTCTTATTTATGACAAGGCAAATAAGATGATGACCCTCGTCGACGTTGCAATTCCCGCACCCAACAACTTGCAGAAGAAAGAACGTGAAAAAAGAGAAAAATACATACCGTTAGCGGATGACATAAAACAGACATGGCGTGTCGATAGGGTTAACATTGTTCCTATAGTGATCGGTGCAATGGGGGAAATACCAAAGTCCCTCAGAACCAACCTGACAACACTCACCGTGAAACCAGGCGCCTACTTTGAAATGCAGAAGTCTGTGGTACTAGCTACCTGCAACATAATTAGAAGAGTTCTTAATCAACCTCAACTTCAATAGCGCACATTTCATGTTTTGCTACTCACCTAGCCGACATGAGAGGACTCCATCTTCCGATGAGAAAAAATAATAATAATAATAATAATAATAATAATAATAACAATAACAATAACAATAATAATAATAATAATAATATATATATATATATATATATATATATATATATATATATATATATATATATATATATATATATATCGTTTATTGACCATTTACAAATACAAAACGTATTTTTAAAGTCAGCAAAAGAATAACAATTTATAAAATAACTTAAAATAATTTATTATAAATAATTATTAATAATAATATTAATAATATTAATAATAGGAACTGGTATACAGAAAATCAAATTTTAACCAGAGAACATCAGTGGGTTTAGCGTGGCTTCCTTTATATTGAGAACAAATTGTACATTTACAATAATTATTTAACAAGAGATAGATATCTAACAATTTTAAATCAAATTCTATAGGATCTATTGCATTACGTGCCGCTAGCAAATCTATAAAATATTTACCGTGAACAGGACGGTGCTCCTATCCGCAATGCACAAATAAAGCCATTTCATTTGAAACCAAAAATGCAGGGTGTTCCATTTGACAAATATTATATGTTTAGACTACATCTCGAAAAAGTTTATCTAGAAAATGTTATTTATATTATATATCTATTTACGGCAGTTTTTACTCTTGTTACTAGTGTATATAGTATTGAATTCCCTTATTGTTTATTAATCATCATACAAAAAATGTATTATACAGAAATAAAATTATAAAAATTCTTAGTATTCTTCATCACTTGAAGAACTGTCATCTTCTCTTGATGTTATAATTAATGGATCAACGGTGCGATGGATCAAGTAGTGAAGATTATACATTTTCTCCTCTTCTTTTATGACATTCTGGACTGCTATAAGCCCCTTTTTCGTAGTATTTCACTTTTGAAAAAAAGGAGCGCCCTTTTCATGGAATTACATTTATGGTGTCTTCCTCAAAGAGGTTTAGTGCACTTTTCTTGAGAGGTTTCGCTTGGACTTCCTCAACATTGGCCGACGGATTGTTGTACCGTAAAATACTGTAGATTAATCTTTTCGTTGATGTGCAGATCCAATCCAATTTTATTAACAAGCCCATAAGTGAGAATCGATAGCTCTAGTATTATTCTACTATAGTAAGGATTTTGATACTCTCAGTCATTTCCTTTTCTGTTCAAAACTCTTTTATTATGAATTTAAACCCAAAACAATCAGATTAATTCGCAGTTAATTAGATGCTGAAGTTTTAAAAAAGTTGAACGGAATTTTAGAAAATATTGCAATATACTCACACAATAACGAGCAAATAAGTCGGCCATTAATTACTTCGGCTAGTAAGCTGCTTGATATTTCAATCAACAATGTTAAAATACCGGTTGTTTCCGAATACAAAAACTTGGGTATTATTTTTGATAATTAATTAAGGTTTAAGACTAACTATTCTTAACAGAAAGTTAAAAAAATCATTGTCTGAAGCATTGGTCTTGTGTCACACAAACTATTGCCATTTTGTATTTGGCCCCTGTTTGGATTTGGCCACTAAAGCTAAACTACAAAAAGGGCGAAAACCATGTTTTCGTTTCATATTCAATCAAAAACTCAAAGACCATGTTAGTGAAAAGCTGAAAGAATTATGCTGGCCTAACATCGCCGATAGACGAAAACTTCACCGAGCCTCCTTTTTACATTAGAATGTCAAAATACCCGGAATGTTTGATGAAAAATCGTTGAGATGAGATACCAAAAATGCACAAAGCTATGTGGCATAATTCATTTTGTTGTTAAACCGATACCCCGAGATAAGTTTGCTCGGAAAATCATTCAGACCGTCTTTTAAAAGAAATTTTAAAGAGAAACTGTTAATGGAAATTATATGTTATGTTTTTACCTTCCTTAAATGTTGTCAGTTTTATTGCTTTAATTATTCTCCTATTATTTTAATTTTTATGTTTACTTATTTCAGCGGAACTACCTTTTTCTCACGTTTATTGTTATTGTTAGCTCATTTATTTATTTATGATTTACGTTGTAAAATTCGCCTTATGGTAAGTCGATTTATGGAATTTTTTTTACATGCTCGGTTAAGTCGACAGCCCAGCGCCGAGTGAAAAATAGAGGCGTTTTTAATTTATTTATTTATCCTTATCCAGCACCCTATAGCAAATAATTAGTACAATAATTTCACTAACTATTCTCAAGTATTGTAAACATTCTTTACCTTTTTCATCTTAAATAACTAAAAGAATAAAAACATATATCAGATTTTAATGTCACTAAAAAATGGACCCAAGTATATTACATTCCTATTAAGATATTAGGTGCTTTTTTTAATTTAATTATATTTCAAAAAATTTGGTTACGGAGTCCAACCAAAACAAACATCCGTACAGTTCGGCGTGTTTACGCCTTTCAATGTATAATAAATTATGCACACGTAAATCGAGAATTAATCAATTTTCTAAGCGTTAATTACACTCAGATCCATTAAGACCATTAAAAAGCCCGTCGACTACTACAGTTATATTCAAATGGGCGACGAAACAAAACTCAGTAATGTCCGCCATTACCATATAAATTACCCCCCGGCAATTGTTTTTGCTACTGCGTTCGCGGAGTCATTTTTGTCAGTTATCCCTCCCCCAGGCTGCGTGTATAGCAAAAAGCAATTATGTACGTGGATAAAATTTAATCTCCCGCGAGATACACCTAGCTCGAATAAGACATAAAACTTACAGGCTAGGGCATAGAAAATAATTGCAGTAACCAGCCCGTATATATTGCAATCCGACAAGGTTATTATTTTCAGTACGACGCGATGTTTTCCTTTGGCACAGCTGGAAATGCATTGTGTCCGTGTGAATAACGTCGGCTGGTGGTTGTGGTGTTGAACGATTCGTTATTAGAATCTAATATTTATGGGGGAAGCTTGCGGTGCCTACATCTAAAGTGAACGTAAAAAAAACTTGGTTAAGCCCATAGCAGCAGTATTTAAAAAAAACATGGATTCCGCTGTCTTGGGTCTTCTGGCATCAACCATAAATTGTGCAGTCGCCTCCTGTTGAGTGACTTTGCATTCGTGTTTGTTACTGATGAATGTCAATAAATCACAAAAAAAAACAATATAACATTTTAAAATTCTTTCAGTGTTGGAAACAAGTATTTGCATTGGCTAATCAAAAATAGCCAACGATTTCCTTCGAATATATAGTAAATTTATTCAAAAACACAGCGCATTATGGACACCACATGGCCTTTTGATCGGGTTCCGAAAAGATCTCAGATTTGATATTTGTGATGTATAAATGGACTTTCCATGCAAATGCAATCTTTGTTTATTGATGTCATAAGACACTAATGGATGTGATACTTAATCAAATTAATCAAAAGCAGGATCCAGTAGCCGGTCGAAATGAAAACAAAATTAGATTTTTTCTCATCTTTGATCTGTGAGGATAATTATTTTCTTCCTGCCGTTTACAGCCTAGTAAATTTAAGTTTTAAAAGTTTACCTCAGCGAATTGCCTCATCTAAACCATTAGAATCTCGCATGTCAGGTCTGCTTATTATTAAAAGTTTGATGTTGCTGGAATTTACTAGAAACTGATTATTTAAGTAGATAACCAAAATGACATTTGGGCGTGCACTTAAAGATGGCCGACCTGCACTATGTGCAACTGTGAATTTTATTATGTAAACACGACCTAAATTGCTTTTGAAACAGCATAATCCACCTAGTGCAATGGTAGTCGCAACTTCTAGTTCCGCAGGACTCTTCAAAGTAGAGATAGGAGATACTTTTTATTCGTCTTTGCGAGTTACCCAGATAAGAAATAATTCGTTGCCTTTTCTCTTTTTTCGTTTTTTCACCTTAATGGCAGGAAAAATGGAAGCCTCTTGGAAAGGGACCACGAGGTGTTCGACGGAAAACGTAAGCGAATTTATTCGGATTTTAGACGATAGCGAGGATTATTGTGACATTTATTTCGTACAAAGCCAGGAAGTAAGTGTAGAATTTCCTCGGAAATTTTAAAAATTTGCACTATTTCAAGGTGTTTGGTTTCGACTTAATGAGTACGGTCATACGACCAAGTGCTACCAACTGGTCGATTTTAATTAATATTGTTTCTATATGAACATATAAATAGATGATAGATAACACGCTGTAAAGAGTTTCTTTTTGAAATTGTTCTTTTACTTGAACAATTCGAAGTCGCTAATCTTAAATACTGTTACTCACATTCAAATTTTTGGCTCCAATATCGAAATGACTGTTCCTTTAGATAGGCAGTTGAACACAAGAACGTAAATAATAAATAATAATTATAAAAAATTATATTGATTTTTCAAACTGTAGGACTGTTGTTGGAAGATGGTCACAAAAGTTACCATTTGCGCAGAATCACAATCCGGATTAAAGTAGCTATTATTTTTATTATTATTATTTCAGTTCTCTACAACTTCCAATAGGAGACTCAACGCGAATCTTCTTGTACTGTAACGAAAATACGAGCTAAATTATCATCTCATAATTCCCGCCAACACACATTTATATCTTTTCAGATATAATTAGGGTGCAATAATCAGGAATTAGTGAAATAATAAAAAATTGTAACTCAGAAATGATGGAAAATAAATTTAAATAGAAAAATTGCATAGTTTCTTATCGGTATTTTAATGTTTACCTGGGGTAAATACTAGTTTTGGTTGATTGTGAAAAATGATAAGTCTGCACGACCTTAAAAAGGAGAATTATCCTTAAACAGGGATGATAATCAATTACAATCAATTTAACTATGAGCCGAAGTAATAGAAGAACTTCCTATAGCTAAACCAACACAAATTTTGTAATAAAAGTGTATGGATAATTCGTTTTAAAATAATATTTGCATTTTAATCGTAATTACGGTTACTACAGGCTGAACTTGTCACTAATATTGCGCTAATCAAAGCGAACTGCCATTTATTTAAGTCAAGACCAAATATCTTGAAAATTGCCACACAAAATTACGAAATTCTTTTTGTTTTCAGGACAACTCCCAACAGAGAAGGCTACTGTCAACAGTCAGGGGTAGGTTGAGGCAGGTAGCGGCCTCGCTCCAGGCGGCGGTTAGATTCAGGCGGTTCTCCAAAAAGCGAGCAGCGCCACCCGAATGGTTCGTCGACAAGAGCCACCAGGACGAAGGAGCCGATGAAGAGGAGAGTCATCAAAGGTCGTGCTGGGGCTACCAGGTGGTTTTCGATCCCTCCAAACGGGCTCACTACACCGTAAGTACTGAAATTTTTAGTGGTATGTCTATCAGTAGACCTACAATAAAGTTTAACTCATGGTACTGCACCAGAATTATAGAGATCTAGCCTTTATTGTAGAAAGCAGCGAAGAACGTGTAGGGTCTCACTTTTTCTGAAAACCTTCATTATCTTTATTATGACTTGACTTTGACTTTGAAAAGGAGAATAGGGTAGAGGGTAGTAAGTAGCAAAAAAAAAACAATAATAATGGGTGTTAACGAAAATTACTTTATTTTATTTCATCTAAGATTAAGGCAAATCCAGAATTACTGAGACTGTAGAAAGACACGTTTTAGTCTAAGCTTAAATGGTGCAGGTGTTGTGGAAACTAAACAAATTCATTGAATTAATCAAAATTGGCAAGTTGTGTCTTGCTCTAAATAAAACTTTGTTAAATAGATGAGGAGGGCACTTCTTTTTAATGATTTCTTATCCACAATGTCAGCTGGAGGACATGAGAACAAAAAGTCGGACACAAAAATTTTTTCAGAATGTTGCAGTAACTCCATCAAATATAGAGCAACCAGTATTAGAGTTTCTGAAAATATGCATCATCATAAGGAGTCTTACACTGCCATCAGGATATATATTGAGCAGATGTCCGGCAGTGAGAAGGATTAGATTAAGATGAAAACCGACACCTAAATCTAACCCGCTAAAACTAATGATTAGTTTTTTTAGCTGTATTTATACTCTGTACATTTTACAATACAGTAATGAAATATCAATCATTTTAGTCAACAGCCTGATAGTAGGCTAGGTTGAAATCGGGAATTCTTATTTACTAACGACGGCACCATCTATTTTAAACAAGTGTTATCTGATTGTCTTGTAATGAACAAAGTAGCGATTCCAGCTTTATTGTACACTTAACACTTAAGTAAATTGATGGTGTATCTTTATTGGGTTTATTTTCAACACTGCACAAGCTTATAATAATAAAATAAAGTGACGATGAAATGAGGTTGAAACAAAGCTGGAAATATTTTTGTGTTCGTTACGGATCTAATGTGAATTTGATTTAAACTGGCATGGCAACGGCGTGATAGAAAAGTGAGGCAAGTAGTAGAGGGTAGCCCCTTTAATAAGGGCCTATACCTTATCTCGAACCCTACGGGGGTTACAAGAAAAATTTAATACAAAAGTTATTTTTATTAAAATGACCCTTACTTTTTTATTTTCCTAATCGTTACTCTTTTATATACAGCTTGGTAAAACAAAGTTACCATTTTTGAAATAGAACACTCTACATTTTATTGCATTTTTTGATAGTCCTTTCAAAGAAAAATTCAACGTTATGTATGGATGCACCGTTTCATACTTATTAGCGGTCATCTTCAGAATTCGATGTATGTTTAAGCCATCATTGTTCGGTTGCTTATTGACTGTATATTTTTTTTGCATCTATTATTTTTACGAAAATAATGCTTTTCTTTAGGCAATGACCAAATTTAAAATATTTTCTTAAAATACGTGGTGTTACGTTTCGCAATTCTCTTAAATAAGACACCTTGTATATATTATATATAGTATATATAGTACGGGTCTCTGATTTACCGTTTTGGCTTAATTGTCAGATAAAATGAAAAACTGGGTATATGAATTAAATTATTAAGACATGAACAACCGTTATAGGGCATTGATAAGAATATTAAAAACAGAATATTAAGCTTTGCACTGATGCATATTACTTAGAAGTAAAATTGATTAAATTAGTTTTTCGATATGTCCGCCGTTTTGAAGGGTACAAGTATATGCCACTTCTAAATGGTATATGGCATTTGAGAAGTAATTCGTTTCATTCAGATAGTGTACAGCCGCGCAAACTCGTTACTGTACTTCCAAAACTGTTGACGGTTTATCTTTGTAAGCCATAGTTTTCAATGTGCTCCACAAAAAACCGTCCATCGGAGTCAAATATGGACTTCCCGCCGACCAGGAGATGGTTCTATTTTGTCCAATCCACTCTGTGAAATTTTCGTTTAAAAAACGAATGATTTGATGGTAAAGAGCGCCATCTTGTTGCCAAATTAAATTTGGATGCTCCCTTTGGGGAATATTAGTATGTAGAAGTGGCCGAATTTCTTTTCTTAATAAGTTTAAATATCGTGCGGATGTTAATTTTTGTGGGTAAAATGCCTGGGCCTGGAGATCAAAACAAAGGGTAAAAGTGTAAAACGTTTCAGAATTATGGGATGTTTTTGGGGAATGTGCATTTTAAAAAAATCGCAATTTTTTCAATATGGAATATATTTTTATAATCAATAACACTTAATTAGTTATCAATCGAAAAATTAGGTTTTTGTATAAGACATCCTGTAGTACTTGGGATTTCCTTTCCAAATATTTTGCTTGAGAGTTTTGAACACTTAGGCTTTGGAAGGAGCGAGAAAAACTTCGAAGAATTCATAGTTTAGGTTAGTTATCAAATAAATGGGATGTTATAGTTTGTATTATAGAGACTGAAAAGTGTGCAGAACAATTACGACGTTGAAAAATGTTCAAATATTGAACGGGAGTCGAATTATCCGCATAAATCAAAGTACTCTGTTTCATTCCTATTTCATCGACCCGGCGAAAATCATTCATCCTGCCACGTGTCAGGTATTAATCTGGCAAAGGATAAATCCCGTTTTGAGGCCTCCATTTGAGAGCTAGCTCATATTTCAGTGGTTTCCCACCAAAGTTTGGGTCTTATCGTCGCCGGAACAACCCCCCATTATTCATCGTGATGGACTGGCGACCTCGAATTGTGCGTATTTAGCAAGCTGAAACTAAATAGTTTGCGAGAAACTACTGGAAGGATCCGTGTTAGTTTGAAACGTTCAAGGTTATGTGGGGATCAGGATCCTGTCAAAGGAAAAGAAAGGAAAAGTTGTGCTATTTGCCTTCCCCTTCTGTTGTCGCAAAAAAAATTATCCCTGTTGTCCCCTACTCAGGACAACTACTAACTATAACGAAGTTGAAAGATTCCCAATGACTTTGAATAGGAATTTAAAGGATTAATACTTAAAAAGTATTAATTAATAGCCAAAAAGAAAATTCTATTCTATATATCGATATTTTTTATATTCTAAAAAACTTTACAAAGTTTTTAGATATTGCGCCCTAATTTTTCCACCCGAATATTGAATATCGTGCCTACGTGGACGACACTGGTGAAAGTGGAAGATTGATTTTTGTTACAAAAAAGAATTGCTAAATTTATCAAAAATCAAGAAAAAAATTTATTTTTCGGTTTTTATTTCTTTTTAAGTTTAATGTAAAGTTTAACAAGAGTTATATTTTTAAAAAAAAGCAGTGGCGTACTATTCTGTTCTTCCAAAATATTCAGACCTCGTAATGACGTCACTTGTCAAAATTTAAAAATCGCTCTTAATGAGATGTGCATAAAATTTTATAACAAAAGTCTTATAGCAAGGTATTCACGACATATTTATGTTGATATAAAATTTTGTTCTTAAAATCAGTATCTACACCCGTAAGTATTATCACTCGGTGTATATGTCTTAATAGATTTATTTTTAATAGTTATATTAACTGTAATTTTTGTTGAATTCAAAGTTTGCTTCCTCCCCACTGACAAACACCACTAAATAGTCTGTAACCATTTTCAAAAACTTATCAAATAACGTATTGAAAAAAAGCAAAAACCAAACAATTAAAGAAAACCTTTTCCTTACACTAATGGGATTTTAACGAGTTCTGATAGTCACGTCAGACAATGAGTTCGTGCTGTTTGGCAAAACTGTACCTAAAAACTACTGGCTGTCGATAAACTTCTTCGGTTATGGCGTTTATTTAAATACACTATTAATTTCAAACTCCCGTGTGCCATACAAATCCCAAAAATAAAAGAGCGTTTGAAATTGGAGGTTTGTCGTTATTTTTGTTAATTATCAGTAGAAAATTAGCAGGAGTTAATTCGGGCCTCTTTCTAAAGTGACTTTCATTTGCCATTTAAGCGTGGGCAAAGAATCGTACGCAACGCCGAATGTAATCTACTTACATCAAAATTTAAAACTCCCAACCCCCGAAACGCCCACGCATGAAATGTTGTTTGGAAACGCTGCTCGTAAATAAAACTCAATATGAGTTTTAACCTTTGATGTTCATTTGGAGCGGAAGTTTTAATCCGCATACTACGGTGGATAAAAATAATAATAAATATGAATTGATTGAATGAATAATAAATAATTGAAAGCGCGAGCAACTGCAGTAGCAAAAAAAAAGTTCGATAATTTAATATCAAGTGACATTGCAGAAAATAGTTGTTCAGGAAAGCAGGGTGGCTCAAAAAAGAGTGAGGAATGAAACATTTTTTGAAATGGAAAGCCCTATTTATAAAAGCTGTTGTAAATTCCATTTAAAATTCTTCAACTTTTTTGTCAAATTTGTACCTAACAACTAAGTAAATAAAAAAATAATGTAAGTATGGATTTACCTAAAGCTGAATTAATTGATATGATTTATATACTGGGTGAGGGGAAAAAAATATTTTGGTGACAGTGAAAGTGTACAAGGCGAAGTACCCTAATAGACATTTACCACCTAGACAACCTCTTCGGTGTTTAGTAAAACGGTTTGGTGCTAGTGGTAGTATTGAGTATGAATAACGTAAAAAGAAATAATAATTGAAAATTTTACTTCAAGTTCAAGATAATCCCCAGCTATCAAATAGTTGACATATAAGCTATAGTTAATCGCGCCACTAGAAAACACAAATATAATCCATATAGAACCAAGAACTTCTAGACCGTGATTTTGATCTTCTGCACCGTTATAAATGAGGCAACAGAGGCCGATCGAAATCATACCATGTAATATTATTGAATAGGGAACGGGAAGTGCGAAACTAAAACCATTGGTCACTTAATGTGTGGTGTGGAATCAAACACTTTAAAGTTATTAGACTTAACCTAAATATATTTAATAATTTTGTGGAATGATTCATCTCAACCTTAAGAAGTTGATAA